CTGTTGGCGGGCATATCGGGGGAGGGGGACTATTGTGTTTTCAGCATTATCAGCAAGATGGCGCAGTAGAGCGCAGCGGCTCTCACCTCTGACGCGTACTTTGGCCCACGTAGAGAATAAGTGGGTGTACGCTCGACCATGCACCCTTGTCTTGCAATCTGGAGAATCGTACGTCTTGGCTAGCCTTTGAGTTTCGTTGGAACAATTCTGCTGTAGGTTCCGAGCGCACAAAGGTCACGGCAATTGTTGCACAGCCTCTGTTTGCGAAAAGGGCACGCTTTTCAGACACAGTGAAGTAACAATTGAGACACTTATTCGCTATAATCTGTACCTGTGAGTACGTTTGGTGCGTCCCGGTGTGCGTGAGAAGCGTGGCACACGTTTCAATCTGCTTGCCATTCTGTGCGTGGCCTTCCAATTTGTTGCTATCGCGTTCACTGCCTCACCTTCGCGGCAAAGCTGTGACTTTTTTGAGAAAGCTAACCTTCTTTTCTCGTGTGGACAAAATCTACGGAGTAGTACTTCACTATTGCGCAGCACTCGATCACCACACAGAAACATTATGTGCCTAGTGAAACTGCATGAGGAATATTAAGCGCGCACTCCGTCACCTCAGAGACCTTGTGGGGTGGGTTCACAAGTTCACTTCTTTGCAGGAAGAGAGCCGCGATGGTGATGCGATCTCTGTTGAGAACCTTGACAGCGCAACCTCGACAACGTCACCTGCATCGTGCAACTCCACGCCGTCAGCAAGACCACGGCGTTTCGCAAGCTGTATCTATATACTTGTAGGAACTAGATAATACACGCCTATGGAATATCTAAACACCTGAACTCTGGTCTTCCGGTACAGACGACGTCTGATGCCCTAAGCACTAGGCCACAGGTACATGCCGTTTCCATGGGAAAATGATACACCACAGACGTTGCTAGTAAGAACGTTTCACTTTTTGACCCTGTAGATTGGGTCACAACGAAAACAACTGCATAACTGCACTTCAAAAAATGTATTGCAAGTGGTAGTTCATGCTCTTAAGTCTGTTCGTTCGGCTAGGTTTTCGCCGGAAGCCGCGCACAGGATCAGCGGCAGCAGCAGCGTGGTTGAGAACTGAGTCCTCGCGCTTATGTCATACGCTAGGGTGCGCCACTCCACAATTTTGAGGCCAATTGGGGCGTATGGTTCTTATCTGAAATAGGTATTCAAGAAAAGTGTTCGTTGCAGAGGAGACTGTTTCTTAGCTTTCTCAGGTGACCTTGCGCAGCAATACACTTTTGTTGCATTTTCCACTGTGATTATAATAACACGGTTCAGGTATTGAAACCACGTATTTTCTGCGAGACCTGTGCAACGCTGTGCTAAATTTTTCGGCTTGCTTCTTTAGCCAGAGGTATCCTTACACTATTCGCCATAGCTTCTGTCGTACTTAGAAGTGTGGCAGCTTGGGCTAGTTGGTATGGCATGACGATAGTTATAGCGCGAGAACAAAACGACGACACAGAGACAAGAAGGACACGAAAGACACGAGCGCTAACTTCCAACTGAGTTTATTGCGCAGAGCACGAAAATATATAGAGGAGACAGTGACCACGTGATAAAAACCATATGGCACAAGAGCAGAACTTGAGTAAGAAAACCAAACCAAACAACACAAATACAAAGGCACTGAAAAACAGCAAAGAAAAACTTAGAAGAAACCGAAAGAGCAAAGTAAAGCTACCTGCACGCACCGAATCCTTCGAGGAACCTGCGTTCCTTCTCGGACAAAGCCACGGAGGACTTGCTAACACAAGGCACCTGTTCGCGTGCCATCTGCGCAGCCTCGACAATGACCCGGGTGCTTACATCTCTGTGTTTGTACAACGTCGCTGTTTCCTCGAAGAGGGGAACACACTTGCACTCAGTGCAGTGCTGGGCAAGAAAACCATCTTTCCCGTTTTTAACATTGTTCGCGTGCTCTCTCAGCCGATCGTTCAGACATCTTCCGGTCGTTCCGACATAACAAGCACCACATGAAAGGGGGGTCCTATAGACGACTTCCCGGGAGCAGGCCGCATACCTGTTTCGATGTTGAACTCTGCAATCTGTCGATGATTTCGTTTTCAGGGGGTTGGTAGTTTTGGTGAGGCTGATTAATTTGAACGGGGCAGAGAACAGGACACGAACTCCAACACGTTTTCCGATTTTTTTGAGCCTATGTGATATCTGGTGTATGTATGGAATTACGGCTATCCTTTCACGTTCTGTATCCGTGTTGCTCAGATTCTGTCGCGTCCTCTGCTCCGCCTTATTAGTCCGCAGGATCGTCTCCGCAACAGACGCGATAAACGCCTCGGGGAAACCTGAAGTCTTAAGGCGGGAAACTTGAGCTTTGAAGCTCGCAGAGATATTGTGGGCGCACGACCTATCTAAAGCATTCTCAAGGCAGGTTCGTGCTATGCCTCGCTTAACTATCTTACTGTGAGCAGAAGAAAAGGGAAGTAGAAAAGGGAAGTACGTTTTTCGAAATAAACAATGCATGTAGTTGTGCATGAGCGGTAGGCAGGCCAACAAAAATCGCGCGTTTTGACACTGTACAGAAAAGCGTCCCGAGTAAGATTGTTTAACGTTTTCACAAAAGGGCCTCCGTTTTTGTTAGCAAACAGATTTGATTGAAGCATTGTGAAATATTTTGCAGGAAAGGAGTTTATCGCAAGAAACAAAAATTTAGCAATTCTAGTTCAAAAGTTATGCGTTGGTCACCTGAGGGGACCACCGTGCAGTAAGTCTACTGTAGTCACATTCAGTGAAAATTCAGATCTTCATTTCTATAGTACTTAGCGTTAGGTACTCATACAAAACGGTTTCCTGCCCTAAAATCTTAGCATGCAGGAAGTACGCATGTGTCTATAAAAATATATTGGGTCCGCCATCTACCTTGCCTGGAAGACAATGGCAGCCGGAAGAAAGCAAACGTAACATGTGACAATGAATTCCAAGCGAAGTAGCATCATCTCTATCAGATTCCCGAAAGCTTCAATATATGCGCCATTTTGAATCCGACACGCGGGGCTCACATATTTCAAGAGTCAAAAATGAGTAAAAGCTGGTTACCTGGGGTGACCACCATGTCCGAAAGAGTTAATACACACTGCTTGTTTATAACGCCTTTGGTCGTAATCTACACCGTATATTGAGTGTTGACGTTTTGGTTTTCTTGCACGCTTCTGTGTTCATTACCTTTTCTTTCAAGAATATTGTGTCCTTTGCTTTCTAAGGCCTCTGAGGCGTGCATTATCATGCCCCGCGCAATTTCGCAAGAAGCATACAAGCATATAATCGTCCGTGATCGTGGAACTACAAATACGACGATCTACCAAAGAAATAGCTTCATTGATGGTACGACCGCAGAACATGTACAGCTCTGTAATTGAGCACTCCATGTACGCAGCGAATGCTGATCGAGTGGAAGCGACACAAACAATTACACCATCTTTCAATAAAGAAAACCATGTAGAACGTGAAGGAGCGCTTGTGTTCACCTGTGTTTCCAATAGTTATTTCCATTTGTATGTTTCGGTGTATGTTGCATATATCCATGGAGTTGCGAATATTGTGCGCACGATTTATGTTACCCCTTTCGCACTGGTGTGTATCACGGTGTGTGTGCCGCAAAGTGAACACCCAGCGCTGCTAGAAGAGTGCAGTGAAGCGAGTGCTCGCAGCATTATGTATGAGCGCACAGGCGTGACGGATATACAGGAAAGAAGGAACGAAGTAGAGGCACCACTCTGTGACCTCCTCTCACCTGCTCGCGCTCACGCGTCAAAGGCGGGAATCAGCCCACGCGCAGTATGGGAGCGGACGGTCACCGAGCGACAGACACAATCCGGAGCAAAAGCTGCTTCACATGTAAAAATCAAAGCGGAGGTTGCAAGGCGAAAGATATAGTGGCGGAGGAGGCGTGCGCATTATGAACTTCGGCGCACAGAAGGTAGGCGCACACTGCCTTCCGATGCTTGCAAGGCTTTACAAGGCAGTGAATTTCATGATCGGGTGTTGTGTGGCGGCACAGATTTGCCGCGCACGTGCGCAGCAGCAGCTGTGGCACTGCTTATACACGTGTAAGTAAGTCAGTCCATGCTTCTGTCAATCTGCAACATCGAAAAGCTATGTTGATGAACCACGTCCTCTCTCGCACTCATGATGTGAACCCTCTGTTTTGAAATACATATACAGTGATATATTATTCTTTAGGTGCATTTATTTTGCAGTCAAGCAATTAAATTGCATGGAGAATTAAGAGCTGAGGTTGTAGAGCGCCTTTTGGCATGACGGTCACTACCGAAGATGCAAATCTTGTTGACGGTATAGGTGCGCTTTAGTTCGCTGTTTTATTTGTTCACGTAACTGATAAAGTGGATTAAAATTACTCTTACCTTGTTCTCGGCATTGACCGGGTTACCTAGTTGCCTGAACCGCACACGTAGAAATGAGAAGTCATCGCAGAACGAATATAAACATCAGCCATTTGCACCGAAATGGCTGCGTTTTCGCCCCCAACAGGATATGACAGATGAAGCTCAAGAGATCATCGACAGTTTGCGCTGTGCAATTTGAGCGTTCACTATTCGGGGTAGAACAGAGCACTCAGTTCCACAGTGTTTACTTAGAATAAAGTGCACTGCAATGCGTATTCTTCTTATGTATACTACAGTATGTGATTTACAGCGTTAAATTATTTTCATATATTGCACTACCTTCAAACTGTCAAAATCAAGAACCTCTGTGAAGATCCTTTATGTATTAAACACAATTTCATGCACTCAGGGGTCCATGTCTCATACAACCTTAGTATGTGAATTAAGACAGTACTCTATACTTTGTTGCATTTGCTATTAAGCACAGATCACATTGCATGCTGTTTTATTTGTTAGTAATAGACTTTTTTTAACAATAAACGCTTACTGTGTTTTTTTTTCAACTAAAAAAAAGAAGGTTCTCAGCTGATACACATGCTGTTTTGCTGTCTCTTTCAGCTGAAAACCCTTGCGAGGGTATTATTCACGAAGAATGCATCAACAAAGAGACATGGTGCCTTGTCGATGCGAACGGACGCCGTGGCCTAAGTTGCCGTAAGTCACCATCCAAATTATGGCTATCTATGACGATGTTTCATTGTGAGCTTGAAATTATGACTCATTTAAATTGACACTAAATATCAAAACTATTTTTCATGTGTCAGTAAAGTATGATTTCAAGATCCCGAAAACGCCACTTTTACGACGACATGACGTTTAGCAAGCGAGAAAACGTGCGACAAGAAAATACGAGGGGCGACGCCGCCTTGAGATTCCCACCCGAAACACCGTGACGAAAAAAATTTTGAATGATGTGTCTACCGATTTCTACGTAGCTCCAAAATGGATAAAAATCAAATACGTTGTCATTTGTTGCTGGCATAAACTTGCCATACGAAGTTTCGAAAAATTGATCGAGGCGATGTATCGAAAATACGATAACTACATCTTGCAATTTCTTACATCCCATCGAGATTTGGGTGCGTAGGTCAAAAATGATATTTCGACCTTGATTTTTTCTGCTAATAATGAACTTATTATATTGAACCATATATCATGAGAGTGCACAGAGTGCAGTATCTCAATCCAAGCCAAGTCATTCTTCCTCTTTTGCTCCCGTTTAAAAGGCTCCCGTTCTCAGTGCGCAGTGACCTTATTATTTGCTCAAAACAGTACAGTTTTGCGAACAATAACTCAGTGCACATCCCTACCGACGAGAAAAGCAAATCAAGGTAGTCACCTTGCTGTAGCCTTAGCTATATACTTAGGAGTGTTATCGTGGAATACATGTAAAAATAAACGCTAGCTTCTTAGGGTGCGAGGTAGAAATTCTTAATGTGCCTGCAGGGTCCTGTGTAGCTTTGTGATATGTAATATCAGTATTTTTCTTGAGCGAAGGACCACTAACGAAAGAACTGACTCGATGCACGACACCATTAACACCAACAATGTTACAATTAAAACTGAACTAATAATTAGTATCACTTGGGTCAATCAATTACATACAGTCGTAGCTGCGCTAATTGTCTTTTAAAGTAGAAACCACTCACCATGTACAAGTCGTTGAGACGTCAATATCGTTGGCTCAGAGACGATGCACCGTCTGGCTTGTTGACGTAATTAACGCCCGTCAGCCCTCGCCAGGGCACAGATCTTTGCTGCAGTAGCTCGGCAGCGTGGACACCACGTTCATCCGACAGCACTCGGGTCGTCTCAACGACTTGCAAGAAAGTCAGCAGTGGTGGTTCACCACTCATGGAAAATGATCGGTCGCAGTAAATGACAGCGAAGACAACGGCACCTCGCCTGCTTCCTCGGTCATCTTCGCAGCCGAAATGCAGTCGTAGCTCGTCGCGGTTGCAATGAAGCAGTCAGGAAAGTTAGCCGGAACCTCCGCTCATCGCATGAACTCTAGAACAGTCCCTAGCCGGGGTACAAGAACGGTAGCGCCTGGAGGACATCGCTTAGTTTTCCGGACAAGATGTCTAGCCGAGAACCGTATGTCATTGGCCGCTTCAAGGTGTCGATCGTCGACACACACACCGTAGGGCGCGTCGCACACGCACAGACTTCGTTTTTCTCTCGGTCACCCCTCTCGACAACCACTGATTTGTTTTCACTCCTCTATTGTGACGATAAATAGATAAAAATGAAGTACTATGTCATCGGCGAGTGCATGACTTGGCATACTGCCTACGACTGTTACTCTTATGGCAAACTGTACCTAACTTTTCAAACTATTTGAATGATGATGTTATTGAGCATTTTGTGAATTTGTTCAAAATTATTAAGCCTTTCAAAAAACAAATACAACTATCTTCATATCTTTATTTTCAAGGAATACTTGTGAAAATATTTTTGTTTTAACTAGGTAAAAACTCTTGCAATTCGGTGTGTCTAGGGTGTCTTCTTGAATCACAAGAACAATTATTTGCAGGAACATTGATTAGTTGACCTTTAATGTCTGAACTGTGAAACTGTGGAGCTTCGCGCTCTCTGCCATCAGCTCCAAAACAATCGGTTGTAGCCTAAAATACCTCATACGAGACAGCGCTCAATTTTTCATGCTGAAAGTAAATGCCCCGTGAGTTCTTGGCAGCTGGCCTTAAAGACGGCACGCATTTCGTGACTTAATTGCTCAAATTTTTGAATCCGAAGCAATTTTTGTGAACTTCGACAACTTTGAGCGTATCTATCTATCTATCTATTTATATCTATCTATCTATCTATCTATCTATCTATCTATCTATCGGGCCGCCTACGACATTAGGCTCTTTTGGCCGTTTCGATAATGGTATCGATACTAAGCTTGGTAGGGCATAAAATGACTGTATGAAGAACATATTTGAGTCGTCACAACGTGAAAATCATCATATGTATTTCATGAACGTCATGATCCACATGTCATAGTTCTGCCGCTCCTGCAGGGGTTTTATTCACATGGCATGTTGCAAAAGTGGTATAATAGGACATGACTGCATGGCGAACAAAAGCGACAGACCCTAACGTGAATGTTATGACATGCGTGTCATGTAAGAACATGACTACATGCCACGCTCATGATGCACTCGCGGCCGTTGCGCTAGCGTCACATATACCAAACTTGGCATTATAGTACTTGAATGAATGACGAAGGTATGTGACCGGTGCAAACATGATAATCATGAGTTGCGTGTCATGTAACAACATGGCTACATGCCACCCTCATGATGCGCCAGCGGCTGTTTCGCTAGCTTCACTTATACCGAATTTAGTATTACGGTACGTGAATGGGTGACTAAGGTATGCGACTGGTGAAAGCGTCGTAATCATTAGATGCGCGTCATGTAACAACATGACTACATGCTACGCTCATGATGCACTCGCGGCCGTTTCGCTAGCTTCACATGTACCAAACTCGCCACTACGTTACGCGAACGGACGACATAGGTAAATGCACATCCAAACGTGATAGTCACAACATGCGTGTCATGTAACAGCATGAATACATGCCCCATGGATGATGTACTCGCGGCCGTTTCGCTAGCTTCACATATGCCAAATTCGGTAGCACGAGGCGTCAATGAACGACGAAGGCAAACGACACGTCCAAACATGATAATGATGAGATGCGTGTCGTGTTAAAACATGACTACATGCCACAATCAAGGCACGAATACCATTCGACATGACGTGGTGCGCGGTTCGCTGGCGTTCATTGCGTCGCGTCACACCAACCTTGCCAGGCCAGGCACCAGTCCTGCCATATAATCGCAGGCGCGCGCCGCACTGCATTGCTTTGGCGCATGCGCGTTTCAGTGCGTCCGACGTCCCTCAGTCACGGAAAGAGGGAGACGCAGTGGAGTCTGGCTAACGCATCAGCGCGAAATGCAGCCTGTCACATTTCGCGCCGGTTACCGTCAGGCAGCGCCGCCGGACGCTGGTCATGCCTGGTATCAGACTATACACCAGAACACAGCAAGCTCAGTGCTTGCTGCCATATTTACAAGCGCGTGGTACCGTCTGTTGCAAGCGTGGCGAAGCAACACTCTCCACTACCAGGCGAGCAGATGCTCTGAAAATCAAACGTGAAACTTTACAACTCAAGTCCGGCTGTACGCATGTTTCGCTCTGTTCTTGTGCTGGAAGTTTATGCTGATTTCGTGTGAAACGTCGAGGAGACCTTCTTTGACAGTCCGCAATGTCTGTAGCACGTCCATTGCCGACTACAGAAGCAGCTTGATCAGGTACGTATTTACGATTGAAAGAAACGAGAACAGCGGAAAGCCTTGCTTTGACTCAGTCGACCTGCGGCGCGCCTAGGCTGTGACAAGGCAGAATTCGTGCTCTAAGCCGGCGTCAACGTAGCGCTAGAATCTGGCTCCCACTTACACTCATGCACCGCATGTGCATCAATTGCGAGTCCTGCGGCCACTCGGAACACATACGCGCTGCAAAAGTTCCAGGTAGAACAAGATATCAATATGCTACGGTGACGCCAGCCGAAAGCACGTGTAGATTCACCTAGTGACAGTCAAGGCATGTCGAAGTTCGACCGAGTCGAAAGTCGTGCTTTCCGCCCCGTTCACGCATCGCGATAGTAGGCCGTCACGGTTGTACTAAACATGCGCGGTGCGTGCATCCACGCGTGAGTCGTAATACGTATATCCTATTAATGACACGTGGCCTGCAAAAGAGTGCGGCAATAGTTTTGTGCCTCATACTACAGGCATTACTGCACGCAAATCGCTTCTGTAAAGTAAGATAGCAGGAGTCGCGCTTGAATAAACGCGATAAGTGTACTTATTTGTAGACTTCACTGGGCTCGTAGTTTTTCCTGCTGATTGCGATTATATCCTAAGGCGGTGGAACTCAGCGTTTTTTGTTGTGGACGGAAATCTGTGCAACCGCAAAACACCACACCAGCAGGATTTCGCGATGCACTATGAACTTCGCAAGCGGTGCTCAGCCCTCTCTTTCTCTTGCGCCGGTTGTTTTCGGATCAGATGACAGCGCAGTGGTACCCAGATGACATTTTAAAAGCGGGAGCAGCGTGAACAGGTCCTTTTTTCGCATTTAAAACTCCCAAAGCCACTGCATTCCATGCAAGCGAGGTGCACCTTGGCAGTTGCAAACAAAAATACCTTCCACCTTTCTGGCTCACCATCTCGGATGTCATGGATACGAAGGAAGGCACAAGCTCCCCTTGCTGTCACATCGACCGAAATGTCACCAAATGTCCTTTCGGCTATCGCCGCTGATGGGCTTGTACCTATTGTGAAAAAAAACCATTGGTGAACGCACGTGCACAACGTGGGTACGGTACCAACGAACTCATGACGCCATTACAGTGAGGACTGAACTAGTGAGCAGGAGGAAAGAACTTTATTCAGAATCCGGCGAGTAGGTGGGGTGGGTGAATGGCCCCGCCTAGGTTACGTCCAGGAGTCCTTGAATCCTGGCGGCTTCCTTGGCCCGCTGGACGGCCCACATTTGATCTTCAAGGACGAGGCTGAGCATTGCGGCTTCCCAGCGTGCGCAAAGGCTGTCACCAGAGGCCGCATACTCGTTTTGGG